AGAACGTCGATTCTGAATCACTTGAAAAAAACACGGGGGTGCTTAACTTTTTTCCAGGTGTATAGTTTGTTGCCTTTGACACAGCAGTTGATGACTGAGTTGAAAATTAAAGGTGAATACAAAACCAAAGTTGGAACTTTATAGGCACTATGTCCATTATCATGATGTCTGTATACTTATAACTATTGATTTGGTTCCAATCTATATTGAACACATGATCTAAATTATGATAATCCAGATGGCATTTATTAAATATTTGATATTTAACTTACCAATTGATCTTAGTCATTCTGTAATACCTCAACATTCTAAACACACTTAGGAATACTAAATAGTTTAATGTCATTAATAAACTTTACTAATTATGCTTATAAACATTTTTTTTCCATTTCTACATGAGAGGATGTTATCAGTATTCCTGACTGAGCATTTTATAGGGAATGTAATTGACCTGAACCATGTGGACATTAATTACTTAGGGATAAATAGATAGACAGAGAGATTAAGAATTTTTTGGTAAGTCATTAGAAAGTGGACAGGAATATTACTCCAATTTTTTAAAGTGCCATCCTGGAAATTATAGGCCAGTTAGTTATAGTTAGTTATAGGCCTAGATAAAGAAAGCTTTACAAAATGATTTAGTGAAGTGTATTGTTATAAATGAAAGCCAACATGGACTCATGAAAGAGAGAAACTTGGCTTACTAATTCAACTTTTTTTGTGTGTGTGTGGATGTTCCTTACGTCACAAGACTGTGGAAAGGGTGTGGACTTAAGTATGCATAGATATTCAAAAAGCTTTTGATAAGGTATCACACTATAGATTAGCTAAGAAAATCAAATTAGTATGTGTTGAGTAAAGACTATTTTTCCAAAACTGTCTTACCTCCTCTTACACACAACTCTCGATCCTCGTCTGTCCCCTCTAAGCATTGCTTAAAAATAATTTAAATTGGTGGAACAGTCTTTATACCCATCAGTTTTGTGCCATTTCAGTATATGTAGATATCATGTGAATACTCTCCACCAATAGCATTATTCCATCTATACTAGTGCAGATAGCTTCCTCTGCTATTCCTCCTCAATCCTCACTTTCTTGATTTGCACAGTATTGTTTTGACATGTGGCTACCGTTTATGAACGAGCTTCTTTGCCATTTAATTTTTTTTTCCAACAGTTTTCTTTTACTATGTTTGCATTCGCTTATTTCCACAATTTTTTGTTTTGGATTTATTTCTTTTTACCAAATTACAAAAAATCATAGTATGAATTTGCAATTAATGTAAGTAACAACTTCCCAGGAATAGAGTTCAATTTTATCTGCCTTGGAGGTACAGGCTTTAATTTGAAGGGAGCTTGTTTCATATATTCAGCTAGGGATTTCTTCTTCTTTTCACATGACCATGTTTCAGAGGAAGAATTTAATCAATGAGTAGACACTTGACTTCCTTTTTCCAGCACCTTCCACCAGTTGCTGTGCCGCCTTGACATTCTCTTTGGCAAAGAAATGTTCTTCTTCTCAGGGGATCTGTGGTAAGTTTTTCAGCATGTACACTTCACACACCTGGTTTTTATACCCATCTGTGTGGTCCTTATTTTCGAAGTTTTGACTTATAACAATCTCAACCCCTCATTTTGTTCCAATATATAAAGCAGTAATTGACATCAACTTATATCTATATTGATTAACATTTAGGGGTTACTCAAGGAAATTGACATTTTACTTTGTAGCTCGCATTATATATGCATGTTCGAGAATGCTCCAGAATATTCTAAATAATTTAGGAAGGTTCTAGATTATTTTGGAATGTTCTACCATAGTATTATGCAATATTCTAGCACATTTTGGAATATTGTAGCATACTCTGGAATATTTCAAAGTATTCCACATTGTTCAGAATGTTCAAGAACATTCCATTCCAATTCTTCAAGAACATCATGCAATTATCAAAATGGAAAGGATTTTTGAAAAACAGACAAAGCTAAATAAAAATTTTAAAATGAAAACTGGAAGATGGCAACCTAATGAAAGATAGTTTTTCAGTAAGCTGAATGATCTTTTACGTAAATAAGGTTCTTTCTTTAAAGAATTTAAGGGCTAAGAAAAGAAGTAAGGCAAGTATGGACAGAAAACAGCATGTATAGCAGGAACAGCAGACTAAATGAAACTGTCAGTTGTTGGGAATCATCCTACAACAGTTATGATGAGGTTGGTGTATACAGTACAAATAACAATGATGAGAATAGAGGGGTAAATAGAGAATCATTATCTTCTAATCCTAAAAAAGATGGCAAGAAGAAATGTTATAACTCCCAATTTAGAAGCAGTTACAGACAGAGCCTAGTTGAGTGAGAAAAATATAACATTTTTCCTTAAAGCATTGGTCATGATGTACAAGAGATAACCATCAACCTTTCTCGATCCAAAGAACTCAACAACAACTCCAACCAACAGTTTCACTTGTGTTCACTGGGACAGCAAGTTCCTGGAATGTCTGTCGGTGATATTGCCTGGAATAAAGGTAAATCAAGTCGTAGATATTGCAAATTTGATTTCTAGCATTTGAGAGGCTTAAGTATTCGCTCTGATACCTTTGCTGGAAGAGAAGGGAATCATTGATTGTATAAAGACAGTTTGCTTTGACACAACAGCAAGCAACACTGTCCAGAGAAATGGAACGTGTGCTGTTGGAATAAAGATAAAAAAAGAATACTGTATGGGCTTTCCTCTGGTCCTGATATTACAGTTTGTAACTGATTTCAGCAATCTTGGGAATACGTGGACTAGTCCAGTTATGAAACTGCAGCTGACCATGATGAAGTAGTAGAAGACACAGAGGAAGTTAAAAACAGTGCCTCTGAGTTTGCTACAAGACACCTTCAGGTCAGTCAACCTAGATACACTTATCAAGAGATTCTTCAACTAGCCATGAATTTTCTTAGAGGTATCCCTCCTCATGGAGTGCAATTTACAGTAGCTGGAGCACTGAATCAAGCACAGTGGATGGCCAAGGCATTACATTCCATCAAGATCTGGATGTTTATGAGATAGTTTAAACTCACTAGTCATGAGGAAAGATGACTCTGTGATGTCTGCATCTTTGTTGATTGATTCTATCTTAAGGTATGGTTCACTGCTCCTGATGCCATTTCTGTTTCTTGCATATATTTCAACTTTCTATGGTGTCTTCTCAAGTATAAGAAGGTGAATTCTGCTCTTTAAAAATCTCCCTGTCAAAATCTTGTGGAACATCTAAGGTATCTTAATAAGAAACTCATTGGATTGGCATTCAACTGTATTCACAGAAACAAAATGAGTGATGGTAAAGGTGTTAAATGAGAATAGAAGACATGGATGAACCTTCAGAGTACATCCAGCTAAATATCAGGAAGTCTGAGGACATGTCAATTTAGAATTTTGTCACAAAAAACACAACAGGTACTTCAAAATTCCATATGGATTTTTTTTATTATAACTTTCAGTCATGTGAACTTAGACAGGACTACAGTGAAGCATTACAGACAGTTCGACACATGCTTTTTGTACATAACAATTCTGAAAGTGATGTGGTCCTTGTTGATGACCACATCTTAACAAAGAAAGAAGAACAAAAACAATTTATCCTTCAAGTTGTACAAGATCGTTGAAGATACTTTCCCAATACAAAAATGAAACAATAACATTGCAAGTTGACTAATCCCATCAAAATCATGTAATTCTGTAATTATACTATTATACATGTAATAAAATAATATACTTTAAACAAATCATTAATAAAACATAAATATGTTTCTAGGTTACATAGTTCATACAGTATCAGAACAATGTTACATAGTTCATACAGTATCAGGACAATGTTACATAGTTCATACAGTATCAGGACAATGTTACATAGTTCATACAGTATCAGGACAATGTTACATAGTTCATACAATATCAGGACAATGTTACAGAGTTCATACAGTATCAGGACAATGCTACACAGTTCATACAGTATCAGGACAATGTTACATAGTTCATATAGTATCAGGACAATGCTACACAGTTCATAAGTATCAGGACAATGTTACATAGTTCATACAGTATCAGGACAATGCTACACAGTTCATACAGTATCAGGACAATGTTACATAGTTCACACAGTATCAGGACAATGCAATCTAGAACTTCATTTAGCAACCTCTGAGTAGAGTCCATAAAGGATGAAATGTGACATTTAATGTTTTGTTATACATTGGAATCAAATTAGTGGGTGAGAGCTTTAACCTCAAGTCTTACCTGAATATAAGAACTACCATAATACCTGTGGTAGACACAGTTTAGATGCCCTTTGTGTGGCTTTTGTACACATGGGAGAATTACATATTTCACGTCATCAGTGCTCGGACTTTGGTAAGTTAGATTTTTATGTTTAATTTGTCATCTAAGTTACTTCAGATGAATTGTAAGTTAGATGCTGATTATTACTCTATATTTTTGGTCAGTTTATTTGTTTTGCACGTTTGTTAAAATTTCATAGTTTTGTTAGTTCATTACCTAGGCATGTTTAGATACTAATAACATCTAATCTGTTATCCTGTTTGAGTAATTTGTTTTTCATCATTGCTAACTATGTGCCTTTTTATCCCCATTTTCATCATTGTAGGACTCAATTAAGCGTCCAGTGTCGCCTAGGTTAATTTAGAGGAATTATGGGTTAGATATTGATTAATACTGTGTTTTTTAGGTAATTTTTGTTGACTTGCACATTCGTTATTATTACATACTTTGTGGTCTAGGTGCATTTAGATGGTTTGTCCTTTTCATATTTCTAAGTACTTTGTCAACTAGGTATGTTTAGATAGTTTGTACCTTACATATCATTACTACTAGTAACAGGTAATTCATTGTTCTATTTGAATAATTTTTTGTCAATGTTAACTGTTATCATCATAATTTTCCTCAGTAGAGGACTCACTTATATGTCCTTTGTCGTTTAGGTTAATTTCAATGACTGGTAACTTAGATATTGATATGTTTTCTAAGTAATGTTAGTTGGTTAGCATGTTTATTCTTATTACATATTTCATTGACTAGATAAATTTCAATGGTTTGTCCATTTGTTTTTTATTAGTCATTTATTAATTGGGTACATTTTGTTAGTTTATACATTACATATCTTTACTACTACTACTACTATCTAATTTGTTGTTCTATCTGAATTTTCTTTTTCATAAATGTTTGCTGTGAGCCTTATCATACTAATTTTTTGTTAGTGTGTGACTTGAAATTTTTGCTTTGTTGGAACACTGATGTGTTTTTTTACCATTCATAGGGATGAGCTGGGATTTGGCTCCTTTTCATACATTCATGATCCCAGAAGCCTCATTTTCTTCTACAATTCAGTGTTCTTCTCCACAGTGCCTACTTCATTGATATTTATTTATTTATTGCTCTGTATCAAATTTTCCAGTTCAGAGCCCTAACTTTCAGACTAACCTTGACTCTTCAAGTGTTTTGATGGGGAGGACACACTCTTGCCTGACATATTCCTTCAATGAGTTTTTACACTCTTCCTTCTGAGGATGACTGCTTCTGCTTGCTTCCTCCTTTTCACAGTTCAGAGACTACACTCCTCTACTCCTACAGGGTGTAGAACAAGTGGGATTCCTGATGACAGGGTGGAAGTCCGTTCTTACCCCCCTTTAATATCCCATTTGGGGGGGATCTTGTTTCCAACCTCATTTGGGCTCTGCCTTCTCCTCTTTTTTCTTTGGGTTGGGAGTGAGCAGTTCACACGTCCCTCACCTTTTCTTATGGCTCGAAATGTTCGATCTCTTTGGAGATATGGGCTTTCTTGGAAGCTCTCTTTCTCGTGGTCAGGCTCATTTGAGTTCTCTTCGGTGGACACCCCTTGATCAGTGGAACGTCTCAGATACCTGACTTGGTGGTTAGACAGAGTTTAGACCAAGGTGGGAGTTCTATTTACTCCACTTCGTCCAGATTTACATCTGTTCACGTACTCATCTTTAGAGAGTTGGGGCTCTTACTTCTACTCTCGGGCGATTTCTAGTCCCTGGTCGATCACTGAGTCTTCTTTCCATGTCATGTTTTTCAAGTTTTTGGTAATTTGTCGAGCTTTGTCCCACTTCCCCCCTCTCAAACAGGAGATAGTGGTTATAGTACATTCTAACATCTCTACAGTGGTTACTTATATCACTGAGTCAGAGGTACTAGTTCCAGGTCTCTGTGCTTTCTGGGCCCACAGTCACCACTTTGTGGTCTTTGCTTGCCTTTTCTTGGCTCCCAAAATCCGGTGATGATCGATTATCTTCTGCCATCAAGATTCTCCTCAAGGAGTGGTTCCTCATTACACAGATGTTACCACTCTGTCTTCGTGCATGGCCTTTGTCAGGTCCATTGTCTCAATCCAGGGACTGACTCCACATGTTGCATATTTCCTTTCCCGATCCATTAGACCTTCTTCCATTTCAATTTATTATGGAATATAGTATACCTTCTGACTTTGTTCTCTTTGCTGTGGATTATGTCCTTTCCACCCTTATTTTACTCTTCTTTTCCTATTCTTCACCTGGTTATTTGAAAGAGGCTTGTCCACTTCGTTTGTGTCTAGCTATCAGGCAGCCATGTCAACTTCCTTCCATTTCTCGATTTTTCATCTGGTTTTGTCTTCCCCTGTCCTTTCCCCCCTTTTCTGTTCCTTTGAATTGCCTGTTGGGTTCTAATTGTTGTCCTTTATGCCCTTTCTCATCTTCCATTTAGACCTTTGTCTTCCTGTTTCATCTACCTTCTCTCCCTCGTGTCTAATTTCCTTCCCCTCCTTGCTTGCAGTCATCTTCATTCAGATATTTATATCTTCAATGTTACCCATATCCTTTACCATTCCTCTTATGTCATCCTCTATCCTGACCAGTCCTTTCTTCCTAGGACAAATGCTGTCAGTTTAAGTGGTTTGACTTTCACACCCATTTCCTCACTTTTTGTTTCCCCCACCTGGCCTCCCATTTCTGTTTTGTTTCCTTGGCTGGTTTACTCCTTAAAAAGATGTATGATACATACTGCCCCTTTCATGATTTCTGACCTTTTATTCTCTGGAACCCATCCATTTCCTGTACTCTGTCCCCTGTTGGGTTTGTTTACTCGTTATGCTGGTGTGTTTGGATTTATCCATGGAATGTCACAATCTCCACAATGTTCTTTCATCAGATTCATTACATCACTATGTCCATAGCTGCAGCACCTTGACTTCCTTTGGAAGAGATAATTTAGGCCATAATGTGGACTACTCCTGATACTTTGTCACTCCTTATCTGTCTGACCTGGCTGTATCTTCCCCTAGTGGATATCCGCGACCTCCTGTGGTGATTCTATACACATAAGTTCACTTTTGACTGGGTTAAGTCTGACCACTTTCTTTTGTTTTATGTCTTCAGCTTCTCTAATCGCAACATTTATTTTACGGATCCCATCTTGTGTTGGGTGTTGCCTGGTCAGGTATGCTTTGCCTCAAACCAGCACTAGTTTATAGAGTAACTATAAAATGCTTACTGTACAGATGGGGTATTTCTGTAAGAACACTGGCCACTTATGCAGTGATATATATATATATATATATATGTACTAGGTATCATTCGATTTCAATCTATGATAGACCATCACTCATGGACTTCATGAGTAAAGCAGAAGGATATTTCTGCTGGTCCTTTGCATAAATCTGGGTCAGTCTGCTTTTCAAAATAGGGAATTGCAGTCATCCATTGCACAGTCTCCTGTGTGATGCTCCTCTGGACTCCCCACTGCATGTTTCTTCTATTGGAGCATGAGAGTCTTTACCATTTCCAGTCACTGGGATGGTGGACCATGGAGGCTTCGTCCTGAGTGCTTTCAATATTTACTTTACTCATGTTTATCCTCTCAGCGAGAAGAGGGCGAGGCTGGTTAAACTACTTCTAGACAAAGTAACTTCTTCAATTGATAATGCATTTCACTTGGAGATTTTTTGCCCAGGTGTACTGCACTGGACAAAATGACTTACCAAATTTATGCTGCGTTTCCTTCGGAGGTTTTTGCTCAGGTGGACTACACTAGGCAAACTAACTTTACCCATTGATGATGCATTTCCCCTGGTTGTTTTTTGCCCAGGTGGACCACACTAGCTAATATAACTTCATCAATTCATAATAACAAACATGGCACCATCCTTACTTGCATTTTCTCTGGATGTTTTGCCCTGGTGGACCTCACTAGACAAAATAACTTCATCCACTTTTATCTGTGTTTCCCCTGGATGTTTTTGCCCAGGTGGACCACACTGGTCGATATCACTTCATCAGCTGAGGATACCTACTTGCATTTCCCGTGGATGTTTATTTCCTGGATGGACCACATATGACAAAATAACTAAGTCAGTTGATGTCATCATGAATAGATTACACAGTCCTTGTATCCTAGCCACTTGTTACACCGGTTTTTCTCTTCCCCAACCTACCAATGCTGAGGACGGGGTATGGGTCATCATCTGTCAGGTTGAGGTTGGGTAGTTACCTAGCTCATTCTGTTACATCTTGCTACAGCTTGCACCTATCCAACATCCACATGTGTGGTTCGCTGCAAGCAATATCTGACTAGGTTTGTAACACAGGTACAATATCAGGGACAGTCCTGTGACAAAGGAAACATATATGTTTTTCAGAACATACATCAATACCATCACTTGTCCAATGCTGTACAAATCATTATCGTGTTCAATTGTGCCAGTATTTTCAATTCCGTACATTTTGTGTTACTTTTCTGTTTCCTGTGCGAAAAGCATACGTATTCCAGGAGTAGTGCAGTACCCCATAGGTGTGCGTCATTTTCTTCTTATAGCACACCCATTCATTCTGGGTTGTCGCTTTCCACTTGGTTTGATATTTGTGCACCTAAATTGGCCCCTCTGTTTTGGAAGTTAACATTTTCTTACATTGAAAATATATTTCTGATAGGTAATTTCCTCCTCTCACATGCTCCCCACTGCTGGTGTTTTTATGTTAATCCCTGCCAATTCTTAAAAGTGAGGACTGAGTGGGAATAGCAGAGAGTATTGGTGGAGAGTAGTCACATGATATATACATGTTCTGAAATGGTGTGAAACTGGTGCACTGGTTGCAAAAATTTTTTTAGCAATGCTTAGAGAGCAAACAAGAATTGAGATAGCTTTGTTTGAGAGGAGGTGAATACCTATCAGAAATACATTTGCAGTGGAAGAAAATGTTAGCATTTGGATTACAGGGTGGTTGGATGGTAGAAAGCAGGAGGTTGTTGTTAATGGTTCCAATCATAGTAGACCCTTGTTACTTGTGAAATGCCTCATTAGTAAAATATTCCAGTGATATTAAACTATTGAGTATTCCTAGCTGTATTGAAGATGTTTAGGTATTATAGAATTACTTTGACCAGTTTTTTAGTTGATCAAATATTTAAATAAATTACCTTTAATTATAATAAAAATTGGATAAGACCCAACTCAGTAGGATCTTGGTATAGTGGCAGATAAGCCACACAAGGCCTCAAAGCATGCTGTGTTCTGGTAGTAAAGCTAATAGAATTATAGGGTGTCTCTATAGGCATAATGATTCAAGTCAAAAGAAGTAATTGTTTCTATACAAAACACTAGTTAGGCCTCACTTAAAATACTGTGTATGCTTTTGGTTTCCTTATCTAAGAAGGGAGTTAAATTATTAAAAAGGGTTCAACGGATGGCTACTAGAATGTTTCTGAGAATGGATGGGTTATTTTATGGAGATATCTTGAAGGGGTAAGAAGCTGTTTTATTTTATTTTATTTTACAAGATTAATTGGGGGGTTTGATAGGATAAAGGCTTCTGATTTCTGTGTGTTACATTCTGAAGGTGATAGGACATGAGAACACAACTTTGAGATTTGAAGAAGACAGATTGGTCTCCAATTTAAGACAGTTTTATTTTGCTTACAGGGTGAATGGCTTTTAGAGTTGTTTGTAATTGTGGAGGGAAGAACTTGAAAAGAAAAATGAAAAATTTAAATCCACCTTTTATTAATCAGGTTGTTGTTGATTCCTTAAACTCTTTTATAGTGCTGCTGCTGATTGACTTATTCCATAAGTAATCATCTTGTTAGAAAAATATAACTGTCTTATTTTATACAAAAACAATTATGTTGTGAACAAGTTTTCCTAGCTGATAAAGCATTATTATAATATTTTGTTTTTTGACACTGCATTCTTTATATTGTCCCTTAGGGATTTTTAAGAATTAGGAGAGTATACAATAATATATAATATCCCTAATACTTATGACAAAATTATTATAATCCTTCACCAGCTTCAAAAAGCCATTCACACCATAACGGTTCCTATTGTAACAGATGACTTGTATAAATATTGTTTCTGACCATTGCAGTGTTTTTTATATCCCAACTGGCTTGAAGAGCTCTGTGTCACTGGCAATTTGTATGGTAAATATAGTATGGTTGGAATATTGTCATTATACACTTTTTTTATAATTCTTGAAAATTCCTATGGACTAGATAAAGAATGCAGTGTTAAAAAATATAATAGGCTTAACACTGATGTTTTTCTAATAATAGTTTTGAAATATGCTTATTCTGTAGTGTGGTTAGAAGTTAGCCTAGATTGTTTAGAAGGTGTCATTATGCATATATTACTTTCAGGATTCGCTGTGACTGTCGATATTGTGGATTCTCACTACTCCATATGAAATTAATAAACAAGATATCAGTAGCAGTATAAAGTTTACATCTCAAGGAAACAAAAGTTTGATCACTAGAACCTGAAACAAAATGTTTTCAACTCAACAAAGAAATGAACGAGCATCAAAATTCATCCACCATTTCTTTTGGGAAATGAAGCATTTTACTTGTTAAAATAGGCTCTGAAAGACTCAGTGTTTATAACCTCAGAAACATTAACAAACTAGTCTGTAAGGTAAGGTTGGAAAGCCTGTAATGACAGAAAGAAGTCAAAAAAAGATTTTTAATTTAAAATAATCAAAATTAAAATATATGTCTAAGTGCCCTTAGGAGGGTAGTAGTGTATTGGTCCAAACGGAATGAAAAGGACCAAAAACAGAAATAGCATTCCAAAATTATATCCATATGTCTTCCTTACACTGGATGCACTCTTTGTGTTAGAAACAGTTAAGTGGAGGAGTGAAGAGGAACAAAGTTTTGTTCATAGTGCATAAAATCAAAATAGAATCTTTTAAAATTAAATGTGGTTAAAAAGATATGGACTAGTCATTTCTAGTTAAGTGACATTGTATTAGTCACTGTTATGTGTTGACTTCAACCTTTATTTTATACTTTAAATCATTTATACTTCTGTTTTTTTTTATTAAAAATTTGAAGAAGTGAGAAGAAAGGAAATAGTATTTCATATGCATGTGAAAACTTCCAGTTCGGCGACAATAAAATCGAGTTTGAGCAAAGTGTACATAGATTCAGTTTCTAAGGTTAGAGTGCATAAGTCAGCCTTAGTCATGAAAAAGTTCAAATGAAGTGTGAGTGAATGAAATATATATATATACACACATGATTTCTGAGAAATGGGAGAAGACAATCTTTTAAACAGCCTAAGTCATCACAAAAATAAAACAATTTGAATGAAATATAAACATTTATTGTTTCTGAGATCTGAGGGGAAGACAATTGCCAAGTCTACATTAATCATCACAAAGTTAAAATGGAATGTGAGTGAAATACATATACATATGTGACTTCTAAATCTTGAATTGCTTCCTGAGTTTTGAGAGCGTAATACCATCTGGTAAGGAACATCTGTAGCAGGACAGGTTTTGGATATGAAGAAGAGATTGGTTAAGAACAATGATGATGAAAGTGACCAGGAGAATCATTTGTCCACCAAACAGAGTGAAACAGAAAGCATAGCATGCATTACAGGAGAACATGGCAGCACTGCTCAACAAAGAAACATCTATCAAAAACCCGCTGAAGAACTGAAAATTGATGTTGAAAGACTTTCCATTGGTGAGTCATACAAGTGTAGTATCAACAGCTTATTTTGAAAGCATGTGTAAATAGTATTGTAACAAAGTTACTCTTCACATTAAAATCCGGTTATAGAAACCACAGGTAATCTAGACAACAAGGATGTGTGTACACACCTACTTAGGAGTGTAACACATAACATACTTGTATTTTAGTGTGCTTTACCTTCTTGAACTACCGTAAGAGTGTAAAACATGCTGTACTCATTCTGTAGTGCAGCTGGTCAACTCTTGGACAGACTGTGTGAAGATAGTCAAATCCATTTGGACAGACTGTGTGAAGATAGTCAAATCCATTTGGACAGACTGTGTGAAGATAGTCAAATCCATTTGGACAGACTGTGTGAAGATAGTCAACTCCATTTGGACAGACTGTGTGAAAATAGTTGACTCCTTTCAGACAGATTGTGTAAAGATAGTCAACTCCATTTGGACAGACTGTGTGAAGATAGTCATCTCCTTTTTGACAGACTGTGTTAAAATAGTTGACTCCTTTTTGAAATACTGTGAAAATAGTTGCCTCCTTTCAGACAGACTGTGTAAAGATAGCAACATTTTTGACGTACTGTGTGAAACTCCTGAACTGACCGTGTGGGAAATTTCTACATATTAGAAAATACCATTATGAATTGTATAATTGTATCCAAACATATTTAGGATATTAGACAGCTTGTAGAATAACTAAAATAGGTAAATCTTATATAGTTTAAGTAGGTAGACTTTTCTTTGTTGGATGTAGGGGTGAACTTGGAACTGTTATTGTTAGTGTTAATTAATATTTTAACACGTTTGAAAAAAAATCTAAATAACTTAATATATTGCAATGATAATTAGTTAAGTGTTTTTGTTCTATAACTTTTATCTCTTTAAATATTAATTCAGTTGTTCCTGCAACTTCTTGTTTATTGTGTTTGCAATAGGTTAAGGCTTGAAGTTTATTCATTTTCCCACCAGGTTAGATGTTATCAAATGTTTTTTAGCATGTTGTTTTCCTTCCTCAGAACCAACGACTCCATCTCAGAAGTCTCCAGTAACTGTTCAGGAGTGGATAAACTCATTACACTCTGGTAGTGAAGAGGAAAACAGGTATACTTATCTGTATTTAGGTAACAAGAACTGGAAAAGGTATGCAACAGATTGGCATGGCCAAGTGGTTAGGGTACTCAATTCACGGTTAGTGGGTTACAGGTTTGAATCCCATCACCGAACCTGCTCACCCCTTTTAACTATAAGGCTTTATAAAGTGATGATCAATCCCATTGTTCATAGGTAAAGAGTAGCCCAAACGTTGGTGGTGGTGGTGTTGACTTGTCTTTCCTTTAGTCTATCACTTCTAAAGGAGATAGCCCTCAAGTAGCTTTGTGCAAAATTCAAACAAATAAACAAGATATATAGTATTTAGTAACACAGCCGGATTTTAGCAACAAAAGATAGTGTTCTATAATTATTTGAATATAAGTATTCTAGTTTTCCACACAAGATACTTAAAGGTATTTTATTCAAAATTAACAGATATATGCCCTACTATTTATGTTTTGTGTATTGGAATTTTTTTTAAAAATATTTAGGATAAATTCAGGCCTTCAAGTGACACCCATGAACTTATAAAACATTCGTTTTTATTCTCATTTTTCTTTATTTTTGCTCAAAAAAGGCCAAATTTTTAACCAATCACAGGTGCAAAATCTTTAGTACTGTAATTATAATATTGCAATAATTATCAAATACAGATCTATGGAAATATATCAGTTTTGCAGCATTTATAATATGGAGGAATAGTACAGAGTTCATTATGAAAATCTACACAGTTAAATCTCACAAAGTATGGATTTCTTAGTAATGGATTAATATTGTTCAAATCTAAGTTTTGTGCACACATTAAACTGTATGTTGGCTTGTCGGACCACGATTTGCTCTGTATTTTTAGAAAAAGGGAACTTGATTTTTCCAGTGGCCCACTGAGGTACCTAAAGTTAGTAATAATAAATTATATCATCTTACAAGCCAATGCATTACAATTTAAGATTAACACAATAATTAATTTTTTGCTATTGAAGATTTACTAAAAATTACCTATTTTGAAGTGTTGAATTCGATCAGTTAATTCGAAAGCTCAAGTTTTATTTAAACAGGAACTGTGAAATTTTAAGTATTTCCAAAATCTACAACTAATAAGGAACATAGGCCAACACTATCCAATGTTGTATATTGTGTCACATGATGTGCAGTTCTCCAATCAAAAGCTCACTATTTTCCCTGGACCTTTTCCAGTTAGTTTTGATCAAATATTTATTTATTTGCTATTGAAGTTATAAAAATAAATATTCAATGTGAGGATAATAGCAAGAAAGTTACTTAATATTACCAGGTTTCAAGAATTACTAGTAGAGTAACAAAACTTGAGGTAACACATATTGACTGTATGAGCTTGGGTGGGGGTTAAAGTGCACAAGCCATGATCTTTTACAGAGTGCCATTCAACCTGGTATGTATTTGATATCAGAGTTATGAACTATTTGTTTTCCCTACATTGCTGATTTAGCAACAGTTCATAGTAGAGAAGAATAAATACCAGATACAATATAAGGATACTGAAAAACTTGGAAGATATGCATTTCCAAGGTTCTATAGGCTATGCAAATATAATATGTAAACTGTGCGAAGGATAAAAGTATCTTTATTTGTCACATGAACATAACCTTGTACTCAAACTTGTCAAAGTCTGAGTTAGACTGAAGTCATCAATTCACAAATATGTCTTGAGTACAAATAATTTTTCAACACATCTAATATTTTGTCTACAACAGTCCTGTACATTTTACTAAAAGCTTGCCACGTTTCATAAAGATACACATAGAAAATTTGAAATTATAATCAGTATTCCTTTTCCAATACAGATCTGTTCAATAGTTCTAGCTTGTGCACATTGGATTAAGCTCAAATGTTGATCTACCTGTATTATATCCATCTATGTGTAGGAAGGTTTTGTAACTGTTGAAGTTATGGATTTTAAGACAAGAATTTTTGACTCATCAAATTTATGTTTTTGTTCAGTACATGTTAAAATCAGACATAGCCAGTTTCCACACTCTGAAGTTGATAAAACAATAAACTTAATTATTTCAATCATTAAACAAGTATATGCATTTTAGATGTGAAAGTGAAGCTCAAGATGTGGAAGAAGAGTTACCAGTTTTACCTCCAATTGAAGCTGCCAAAAAGAACACTTCAGCTAATCCTAATTTCTTCAGAGAACATCTCCCTGAAGGGCTATGTGATGATAACCTTTATTTGGGTGCTGAAGGTAAAATAAACCTGTGATTAAGATATCCTTTGTATGAGAAGATTCCTTACCTTATTAGCAGTAGCATACTTTATAGGTTGGAATGTTAATAATAAATACTGACTATGTTTTCATCCATAGCTTACTTTGTAGGTTGGAATTTTACCGATAAATACTGACCACGTTTTCAACAGCAGCTTACTTTGTAGGTTGGATTATTACTGATAAATACTGACCACATTTTCAGCAGCAGCTTACTTTAGGTCAGTATTTATCAGTAATAATCCAACCTAACGTTTTCAGCAGCAGCTTATTTTGTAGGTTGGATTATTACTGATAAATACTGACCAAATTTTCAGCAGCAGCTTACTTTGTAGGTTGGATTGTTAACGATAAATACTACTCATTTTTCTAGTAATTTATGTTTTGTGGATGTATTTTTATGATTTTTTTTTAATTCCATTTCTAGCCCGGAATTTGGATGGCATTCTTCAAGATGCAGCATTCAATAGGCAAGTATGATTTAAATGTTCTTTGTAGTTATGAAAATATGAAATACATTTTTATACCTAGGATGTAAGAAGTTAAAATATGTTATGTAAATCAATCTGTTTTTTCATTCTTGCAAAATAATTGTCTTTATCAAGTATTACAATGCTATGTCTCTTATCCAAAGTCTTTCTTTAGGTTTAAGGAATGAATTGCTGCTTTATAGTTATCATTTGTTATTTATAAATTTACTTGTCCCAGGTTTATTGGATCCACTAAAACAAAATTGTTAATGCAAGTGGAAGAACATGCTAACATAAGATCTCCGATTAAATCAAGTGTAGTTGAGCATTCTCTAGGAGAATGTGATGTCATCATCCAGTCTAAGATTTTAGCAAGAACCAATGATGAACAGATCCTCTGTGTAAAAGAGTCTTGCTCACACACAAGGGGCTTCACAAATGATCAAACATTTTGTAGTTTGTGAGTCATCTGTAGAGCCCTAAAAATCAAATTTTTTTGGAGTAACTTCTTTTTATTTAATGTTTTTGACTTCAAGAATGTTTTACTGGGAGAGTTTTAGAAAGATTTACAGAACCAGATAATTTTTTTCTGCAAAACTTAAGTTTATGTGGTTATTAACAAATGAAAGATGAGTCTGAATGTCTTAATTTATAAGAAAGATACTGAAACTAATTCCGTATGTACTTTTGAAATGTACATTATTTATCGTTTGTATAGTTTTCCATAGTTGCTTTAACCAGCTACACCAGATCTCTGTTTGTGAAGTTATCATAGAATCAGTGTTTAGTACTCAGGCTGGATATCACTTTTACCTGATAGTAGTTTAAATTCGTTTATTAGAGTCTGTAACTTGCTATATTTTAATGATATGATACAGTTTATCCTGACTTGATCTGCAGGTTTGCAAACTCTGTCTTACCTCAGTCTCGTCGAGTGACCTTGGGAGATACACATAATAAACAGAGTAGTTTCAATTCTGACTTTTCCAGTTTTTCTGGTGTTTCCAGCTTTTCAAGGTAAAGTACATATTGGATAACGAATGTTTTCTCATCTCATATACATTAAAATGATGATTTAAAGATCTAAATGCTTATATTATTTGTAAATAGTAACTATAGACAGTTAGTAGCTTTTTTAGCATAGAGAATATGCTTAAACTATATATATAATTTTTTTTTTTAACCTAAATCTTCATACAACTTTAGCTAGAAATATGGTCAGAGCAGTCAGGCTTTTAAATGTGATGTTTTTAATTCTGAAAATGTAACATTGTTTCCCTTCTGACTTGTTGGATACTTAACAGTGACAGTTTTAATTAGTCAGTTAGAGTGAGGTTACAATTATTGATAGACACATGGGATTCTTTCACTGCAGACCCATGGGCACTTTGGGTTCTGATATCAAGGTTTGTCTTTCTATTCCATTCTCCACCTCTCACTATGTAGTGTTTCCACCTCCTCCTGACCATTGGGGAGTGGATTATCTTTTCTCAGCTATCAGAATTACTGATCACGGGGGGTGGTAGAGACAGTTGGTCCTGTTCTTCTGGAATTTTATTCCTATTTATTTGTTGTGCCTGAGACAAGGAAATATTCGCAGAAGATCTATGTTTTTTCTCATCTCAACCTGTTCTTTGTTTCTTCCGAGTCCATCATAGAGTCCTTTCTCACCCTACATTGGTATTTTTCACCATGTCTGTCGATGCCCACGTTTGTGGTTGCTGAGGAATTTCTCCACATTCTCTTAGTGAATTCATCTTGCCTTTAGCTACGTTTTGTATACAGGGATCAGGTTCTGCAGTTTAGGGATCTAGCCGTTGGTCTAGTATCAGCACCATATGTCTTCTGCTGAGTTGTACAAGTTTTCACCATGCTTTATGCCTGGTTTAACCACCTCCCATAGAGATCCAATCTATGGAATGGGCAGTCAGGCTCTTACTTACAAGGAATGTTCTATCTCTAGGGTTGGGGCTTCCCTCAAATATCTCTCATTTTTTGGGAGGACGACACATGCTATCCCTTCAGTGGTCCCATTGCAACAAATGGATTTGGAACTTCAATACACTAGATTTTCCAGTCTCTTTCTTCAGGAGCAGCATCTTAGTTTTTGAGTTGGAATCACCTCTATCATTAGTGTTAGGGTGTGTGTATATGTATATATGTATCTATGTGGGTGTGAGTGTATAAATTTATACTGCCACTCTGTCCATAGTTTCTCTTTACAGATACTTCACTTTTAATCATCCTGAATATCTGATGGTTTTTGACTCCCCAGTGCTTTCCAGCCTTCTTCCCAAATGGTCTTTTCCTTCACTTAATTGAAATTTTAAGTTGGTACTACATGCCTTGTCTCAACAACCTTTCAAGCTTTTAGCCTCATGTACCATATATCATCTTTTCCTTAACTCTTTCCGCACAGACTCAGCTTCTGGGACTGACCGTGTAATCATTTTGTGTATGTTATAGTTCTCATGCTATAACTTTTAAATTAGTTAGC